ATATATATATATAAATATATATAAATGCAGTTTTCTGTGGTTGTAGTGTGTATGGTAGAGTTAGTCTTATTGTTTATATAAAACAACAGAAGTCTATTGCTAAGATACACACAGTTGTGTGTTAATGGACAACTGAGGGTGTGGGTATGTGATCACTCTCAAGGGATTGGTTCTTTTTAAACAAATAGGTAGTTCCCCTCAGTCCCTGTGCAGTCCTCTTGAGTCACAGACGCGGTTTGAGTCAGAGGCAACAATTCTGTCATCTCATGGCTTGCCCTCATAACTGCGAATATTAACACGGAAACACTCTCAGAATAACTTAAACCATAAAATTCATCTCTTATACCAACTGACTAAAAAATCATCTAAATTATAGTGCCAATTTCATTCTTAAAAAAGTTACATGTTTTCAATCTCTTAAATAAACACTAATGGGAAAGAGTTTCATTTCCTCATTCAGCACACAGATGTTATATTAAGGGTATGTATTGCATCATTTTGGGGGAATTCACACTAGTTTGAAACAATACTACCATAAAAAGCAGACACCTAACTATTTTATGAAAAAAGACCTCAAGAAAGCAAGGAGGTGTTTTGCTCTTTCCTCACAAAGACTTTTAAAAGTGGACCATTTTAAAGGGACAGTCACCCAAAAATTAAAATTCATTGTTTAATCACGCTCATGTGTGTTTGAAACCTAAATGGCTTATTTAGTAGAATGTCCAATCTTCTCTTTTCCATATAGTAAAAGTAGCCTAAATGACCACGTTTGTCAAGCTAGAATTTTAAAGCAAAATATTTGTAACGTAGCCACCTTAAAAATAAAGGTGCTTCACGATGCCATAGAAGAACCATTTTTGGTTCCACAAAGAACCATTCAGTCAAAGGTTCTTTAAAGAACCTTTGACTGAATGGTTCTTTGTGGAACCAAAAATGGTTCTTCTATGGCATTGCTTGAAGAACCTTTTGAAGAACCGTTATTTTTGAGAGTGTAAGAGCGCACACAACCATTTGTAACTTGAATGTGAGGCTTCTGATATTATCCGCTTCCACTTATTTTTAGCTGTACAAAACAGCTTGTTATGCTGCTTTACATTGCTAACTTGTATTACTTATCATATCATTTTTATGTATTATTGTAATTGTAAACACATTGGTTTGTAGTGCAAATCATTTTACTGCACGTCATTATTCTTCTAGTTATTTACCTAGCTATTAGTTACTAATGAATCGGAATAAAAAAAGCTCACTTCCATGTTAATTGAGATAAAATAAGATGAATAAACAATATAGTGTACAACTAACTGACTATATTAATGATGAAGCTTGTCAGCCCATGATCCCTAGACAAAATATTTGGAAGATATGTCAGCTCTGACATTTGGCTAAATATCCTTTTTCTGTTCCACAGAAGAAAGAAAAAATGTTTTCAATGCCTTAAGGATGAGTAAATTATGTCATTTCTTTAATTTTGAGATGAACTATCCCTAAAAGTTTAAAGAGGCTGGTGATAATACTGTACTGTATATATACAAAACAAGAGCCTGACATGGAAACTCCTACAAATCCTGGAAATTAAGTGAGTTCCACTTTGGCCAGCACAGGAAATGAGCCTGGAGCCAACAGAATACTATGACTAACAGATCCGAGCTGTGAGCTGTTTAGTCCACGCTAGCTTCTCATTTCCGTTATACTGCAGCACCGCAAAGAATATATCACCAAACAAGAAATCACTATGGAGATGATGAGCTGTAAGGATGCAAGACTAAGCCTCTAATCTGATGTTACTGTCACAATCACTAAGCAAGCATGTCAAAGGTCTGCACCTTATTGTACAGCATTTAATTCACAAACATTTCTATCAGGCACTAGACCGGTCTCATATGTGGGGGTGGAATTTCTTTGACTCGGGGAGGGTGTTTGTATTGACAGATTGCTGAGAAAGCTAAGACACAGCATATAGAGTGTCCTACGTGTTTTCTGTCTTCTGCTGAATAGGCAGCACATGTTCAGATAACATATTGTATTTATAGAGATAGCAGACTGACACAAGACTCATATTTCGAGCTATATGCATTTAGTTGCTATGGTGACAAAGTTGCTTTTTCTAGTGTTTCTGGAATACAGAAATTTGATGCACTCACTAACCACTGACATCTCTTCTCCAGGCTGAGAGAGGAAGCACTTATCCTCAGATGATAAACTATCTACAGGATATCCAGCGGCTGGGAACACACAGTTGGAAAATCCTTGCTTTATCTCCCGAAACAGGACCCAAATGTTGATCATGAGAGCCCAGTGCTGTCACTGTACATCAGCACAAGCAAAGGAAACTAAATACTCAAGCTCAGCGAAGATGATTTCTTGTTTTGAGTTTTTCCTTGGAGAGAAATCTGAACATGGAGAGAAATCTGATTTAATGCATGATAAAATGCTAAAACCAAACTAAATCTAAACCTCTTTAAAACAAGATCCACTCAAGATACAAAAGTGTGTAAGATAATAATACTTATTTTCAGGGAATATCTATTTTATGTACACTACCTTTCAGAAGTTTGGTTCGGTAAGATTTCGTAATGACATCTTATTTTCATTTAAGGCAATATTACTGATTATACTGTATTTTTGATTAAAAATGCTATTTGATCAAAGATACAGTAATATTGTAAAATATTACAATTTAAGATAACTGTTTCCCCTTATTAATATTATTAATATATTTATAATGTAATTTATTCCTCTGTTGGCAAAGCTGAATTTTCAGCATTATTACTAATTTTATTTAAAAAGAAATCATTTGTACTGTCATTTTTGATCGAATGCATCCTTGCTGATAAATATCAATTTCTTTCGCAAAAAAAACATCTGTTATCTTATATAGTTTTTTCTTACCCCAGCAGTAAATGTTTTGTTGTCTTGTTTTAAGTATATAATTTTGTTATGATATATGCTTAAAGCAAGAAAATTAAAAGTCAAACTTTAGATTAGATTAAATTATATTTCAAAAAACGAAATATTAGTAACATATTTTGTATTATTTATAATATACATGTGTATTATATTAAATACATTCTAAGATATACAGTATTAAAACATTTGAGATCAATGTGTATGAAAGACATATATGAACACAAACCTTAATATCTTACACTAATGTTCTTTTCAGGTTAATTTAACTTGTAACAGATATTTTAACTTTTAAATAAGACTAGAATTTTGATTTAGACTGATCAGTATTACTGAACTGTGCTGTACTTTTGACTGGAAACTACATTTATTATCATCAGGGTGGTTGCTTATTATAAACAGACGTGTGAACTCTGTCACCTCAAAAAGCCCTTTTGATAAATAAATGGAAAACAAGCACGAAAACGGTCTAATTAGTGCAGTGACACAAATGTGCGTCAGTGTCAATGCTGTTGAATGAGCGCTTGTTCTCCTCTCAGCACAATGCCACCATTGACCCCTTTCTCCTGGTCAGAAGTCAGAGGGCAGTAAACAGCCAAACATTTTCTCCTAGTTAAAAATCACAGCGCTTCGTAATGTGCGTTGTGCACTATGTCTCCATTGAGCTCTTGTTGGTCCTGGTGTTTGCTCTCCGTCGCCCTAGCTGTCAACACACGGCAAACCTCGTCAGCTCCAGATTTCTCTGGTGAGTGTTTTTCTCTGATTTTGTGGCTGTGATAGAGCAAATTCAGCATGTTGTCTTGGAGCGAAAGAGAACATTCTGTATTTTGTCTTTCACACAGTCCTTGTCAACAATCTGTAGTGTATCAGCTTAAGAGAGTTGGGTGTTAGGGTCACAGAACTGTCCCATCCTCCTCCATTGTTTGAGGACTGTCCATATAGGAAAGGAAGGCAGTTATCTACATTAACCCATTCTGAACCAAAGGCAAACATTTTATGTAAAATTTAGGCTGAAGGAGTGCAAAATACACTATATTTTGGACTTCAAAAGACATTAGAATCATCAAATATGAAGCCAGCTGCAGTGTTTATGTGTCATAGTACCATCAAAGTCAGCATTTAAGTGTCCCTGACAAATGTTGGCTTCGTAATTCAGTTGTCCTGTATAGTGGCTTCAAGTAATAATCAGCCAAGAATAGCTCATTGTGTTTATTTGTGAGTGTGTCTGTGCCTGGCACTGCATAACAGTGGGCTCTACAGATGCAGAATGGCCTAACCCGAGAGAGAGAGAGAGAGCGAGAGAGGTACAGGCCAAACATTACAATTGCCATTGATCCAGTTCCTTCTCATTGAATGCTCGTGGATATGGTCCAGTGAAGGAACGGAGCCATGCATGTTTAGAACATAGTCTAGTAACCTGAGCTGCGTGGAAAAGTGGACGATAAAAAAGAGAAAAATGCTTCTAGAGAAGGAAAATTTCTGCAGTATTCCTCATTTATGTTTTCCACTTATGTTCTCCAAGATTTAAATCCCAAGTCCGCAGTACAGTGAACAGGAAGACCTCTTTCAAATCCTGTTGGGGTCATTTCCTCTGACTACATTGCTGTCTTTGACCTCTGCCTCTCTCTTTCAATGCAATTTTCTGATAAAGTTAGTTGAAGATTTGAAAGATGAACAATTCCTAATTTTTAAAGTAAACATGTCAATAACAACATGATTTAAGATTTAAATAAAAAATGTTTTTCCCTTTTTTAAATAATAGTTAATTTTTTTTATTAATTGAATTCGTTTTTTTAACTATTGATAGTTATTTTGAGATTGTCTATAGATCTCTTTAGACTAATCCCTAAAACAAAGCATTGATAAAATAATGCATAATGTATTAATAATACAAATAAATGCATAGGCTTACCAATATTTTTGTTTTATTTTATTATTTATTTTATTTACCATTTTCTACACCCAAATTACAGCAGTTGTGGTAGAAACCTGAGAAAAGCTTTCTGCATCACAAAGTTTGAATGTCAGCCACACCTCGTAAGATTAGATAAGTGAGGGAGTTGGTTTGCCCATTGTCATTCTGCTGGATTTGCACTATACAACAGGCTTATATAGAATCAGTGTACATTAGTTGTGGTCTACAATGCTGTTTTCTAAATGCGTTCACAATGCCTTGTTTGTACGCTGAGCAGTGACAGGCCTTTATCTCAGCAGTAGTGATGCTCAACTGCTTCTATTCTATTCTATTCTTCTATTCAACTGATGTTTTGTCTGCAAGTGATGTCTGCATATATTTTCCTCTTAGATTACCTCCACAGGATCCTGAAGAACCACACTGCCCATGCGTGTGATGGAGAGACGCTGTCCATCAGATGCCCCACCAGAACATCTGTAGCTGTTGTCTCAGCATTTTATGGACGCCGTGTTCCGAGTCCATATCTATGCCCACAAGCAAACCCAAACATAACAGAGGAAAACACAGACTGTACATCAACCACAGCCATTCAGGTATCTTTGATCTGGATTTACTCATTCTTTAATTCCAGAGACAAAAAAATCTCTAGAACTCATAAAAATTAATGAATTTCAGTCAGAATGTGTTTGTTTTTATGTCTAGAAAGTGATGTCTGAGTGCCAGGATCGACGGGAGTGTCAGATTCCTGTGGTGAGTCCTGTGTTTGGTCAAGATCCCTGCCCTGAAACCAGCAAATACATCATTGTCTCCTACAAGTGCAAGCCTGGTGAGACACCTATATTTGTGCTTCAGCTATATTTTGTAACCAAACAGGACATCTACATTTACATGCACCCAAATAATCATATTGATGGCTCTTTGGATTAAAAAGGATGGTAAACACCTCAGTCAACTGAGCTTGATCCGAATTAATTTCGATCTAATTGAAAGTGACTTGAAATGGTCTGATCAATAGAAACAGAATAATGAAATATCCAAATGTCTTTTCGATCAGATTCTAAATATCTTGTTTTTCACACAGCTAATGAGTTTTTCTTCTCCGCAGAGCATCATCGTTCGAGAACAGTGTGTGAGAATGAGCGAATGAAGTTGGCCTGTAAGAATGACACGGTTTTGGCCATCTATTCAGCCACGTTTGGTCACCTGGAGCATGACAGCATTGAGTGCCCTCAAGAGGCTAAAACAAAACCAGACATAGGTCTGAGACTGAAATAACACACTTCTCCCATCTAGTGGGAAGGTTTTGATACAACAGCAGAGGCACCAAATTATGTGTTCAAATCCTTTTTTCCATTGTACAAAGTAGAACAGAGATCATCTTATATATTTGAAAACAGTCGTTCATTTAATGAGACTATGCTTAAATGCTTGTTTCCTGTTAGAGTGCTTGTCTCCATCAGCCTTGAGGAGGGTGTCAAGGAAGTGTCATGGCAGGACAAACTGCTCTGTACTGGCTGATGCTCAGGGATTTGGAGACCCCTGTTTCCCTGGGACTAAAAAGCACTTGCGAGTCTCCTTCACCTGCGGTGAGTTTTAAAAGGTTTAGAGAAACTACAATCTACTACCTTATTCATTAATGTTGAAGCAGTCATAAAAAGATTTACTTTGTTGTTGTGCTTTTAGTACCACGGTATCTACTGGAAGATGTTGGACGTGGAAACATAGATCCTTTCTTGCTCTCTGATTATACACATGGTAAGAAAAATTATTTTATACAAATTTTCTTCATTGCTTATCTAATTTTAAAGGGGTCATATGATGTTGCTAAAAAGAACATTATTTGGTGTATTTGGTGTAATGAAATGTGTTTATGCGGTTTAAGGTTAAAAAAACACATTATTTTCCACATACTGTACATTATTGTTTCTCCTCTATGCCCCGCCTTTCTGAAATGCATGGATTTTTTCAAAGCTCATCGGTCTGAAAAGCAAGGTGTGCTCTGATTGGCCAGCTATCCAGTGCATTGTGATTGGCCGAATTCCTCAAGCGTGTGATGGAAATGTTACACCCCTACCATACTGTGATGCCCTGTCCGGCCGGAGTGACGAGACAAAAACATTAAAACCCATTATAAACGAAGCATTTGTCGCATCCAGTGGGGGACATAATTACGGATTATAATGACTTATACTGTCTTTTTACACGTTGCATCACGCCACGTAAACATAAAAGCATGTCTGCATTTGAGATCGGAGAAATGACAAACAACAAGCACTACTCTACAGTGCTCAAAACTCATGTTTGAATCGTCAGTGGGAAATCCTTTATATATATAAAAAACTTACTTGCATTCTGTGAGTCAGAACAGCCGGCATTGTAGTCTACTCTACCAGGATCAGGAAACAGTCCTCCATAAAATGTGCTGCACACATCTGAATATTTGGGTTGAACTGTTCTGGAACAGTGTTGTAAATACAACTTAACCACTGATTTCTAGTCATGTCCTCTTTTGGAAGGCCAAACAAAGTAGTTTTGCTTTCACAATGAAACACAGTGTCACACACGGCAGGCTAGAGTGAGCGGTGGCCGGCGGATTCGACAAAGGAGCGTCCGGAGGGCTTGCGGTAACCACATGTGATGACCCCGGGCTGGACTCCGCTTCATCCACGGTGAAAGCCGATCGGGCGATCCACAGCGTGAAGTTGATGTATTCCCTCAGTGATCAGCTCTAGGCATGACGAAGCAGATATTGTCCTCTTTTGGAAGGCCAAACAAAGTAGTTTCATTTTCACAATGAAACACAGTGTCTTCACGACATGGTGGCAAGCAACAATACTACAGCGAGAATAAAAGTTATGCCTTCTTTCTTTGCGTGAACATCTGGGTGGCATTATGCAAATCTTCCCACATCGTGACGTAGACATGTGGGGGCGTGTTAGAACGAGCCATTTTAGGTAGGTGTGGTTGTCTCTCAACTTTTATAAAGAATATCTCTTTGGATTTGAGACTTTAGTCTTTGCAAATTTACAGATCTTCTTTATGCACCAAGAGCTTGTAACACTCCAAAGAGAGAGGCAACTTTGAAACTGCATCATATGACCCCTTTAATTTTAATAAGCTAGCTTGTGTTAAAAAGATATCTTCAACCTTATAACTGCTTGTGACACACAGTTGTGGTCAAAAGTTTACAATCACCTTGCAGAATCTGCAAAATCTTAATAGTTTTAACAAAATGAAAGGGAACATAAAAATTGCTTGTTTTATTCATTTATTTTTTTACTTTACAGATGTATACATATAGTCCACAAAACAAAATAATATCTAAATTGTTTAAGAAGTTTACATACTCTTGATTCTTAATACTGTGTTGTTGCAGATTTTTTTAAAGCTGTATGTAAACTTTTGAGCGCAAATGCACATGACTCAGCTATATAACAGAACTGCCAGTCATCAGTTGTTGATGGTCTTGCTGACTGCTGGATCCAATCCCGTCTTCCCCCTTCACAGGAGGGTGGTATACTGGTCCCGGGGTGTCCAGACCACAAAATATTTTCACCAACTCTTTGGAAATCTTTTCCCAAATCCAGGGTATGTCAGATGTGTGGTCTGATCCCAGAATGTTCAAATGATTAGATGCAATTTTTACTTACTATTATTCATCTTTCTTTTTTTATGATCAACTTTTCGTTTCTTTTTTAAATGTACACATGAATCTTATTATATGCAGCATACATATATCAGTAGCATACATACAAGTGCCAAAGCCTTAGAGAATAAATGAGTATATGAATGAATATATATTTTTCTTCATAGTTTGCTAACATCAGCAGTCAGCAATGGCCTTCTCATATACTAAATGTGGAAGTATCTTACTACTTGATTTATCCTCTTCTTATTTCTGTTGTTGATATTGTTTATTAAATGTTGTTTTCTTCATTTCTCCAAGGTCTTCCAGAGACAGTGGCTTTATACTTTGTCTCTGGTATCTGTGCTGGTCTGTTCTTCTTGCTGTGTTTGTTCGGTCTCAAATCCACCCTGATTAGAGATCTGAAAGACCTTGCCTCTGAGCTAGGAGATGAGCTCAAGTCCTCCCACAGGACACATGGAGGACTAATAGATGATTTTGATGACGCCTCTTTGCGGTCTTCTTTTCGCCACCTCGCGCGCCCTTACCGCACGCCAGACGTGTTCAACCCAGAGATGATAATGACAGTGGTGATGGAGGAGAGGAAGGATGAGGACAAACCTGAGATGCCCAATGGAGACATCTGGCCTCATATCAACTCCAGCCCTTATGCCATGCACAAAATCAAAACCTCATCTGCTTAATCTGGATGTTTTCTTCATATCTGACTGTTTTCCCTATTAAAAGAAACACTAATTATATGGTTTAACATGAGTGAAGTCCAAGATTAGGTTTTCTTAAAGGGTTAGTTCACCCAAAAATGAAAATTAGCCCATAAATTACTTACCCTCACATCATCCTAGGTGTATATGACTTTCTTCTTTCAGTTATATTAAAAATTGTCTTTGATCTTTCAAGCTGTTTCATGGCACTCAGCGGGTGTTGCATGCTTCAGTCCATAACAAGTTAAAGAAAAAGCGCCCATCCATTAAAAAAAAAGTGTCTCACACAGCTCTGGGGGTGAACAAAGGCCTTCTGTAGCGAATCGCTGCGTTTTTGAAAGAAAAATATCCATATTCAAAACGTAATAATCACTTTAATGTAGCTTGCGCTCACTGTTGTAAAGGGAAGCAGCGCCGGGCGGATGACGTACGAGGTCAGCTTTGCGCATGCGCTGCTCAGAAGTGACGAACGCGGAAGCGCAGCGGAGAGATCAAAACAAAACAACGGTCAAGAATTAGAAGTACAAAACGAGGATTTGTAAAGCATGTCGGAGGATTTCGATATAAGCCAAGAGGAGACTGGTTTTCCTTTGCTAATGTAAGGAAACTTTGCTTCCTTTGCTCCTGTTAACAAACATTGGTTTTCACGAGACTCACCAGCGCATGAGCAACACTGAACTCGTACGTCATCCGCCCGGAATTGCTTCCCTTTACAACAGTGAGCGCAAGCTACATTAAAGTGATTATTACGTTTTGAATATGGATATTTTTCTTACAAAAACGCATCGATTCGCTACAGAAGGCCTTTGTTCACCCCCAGAGCTGTGTGAGACACTTTTTTTTTAATGGATGGGCACTTTTTCTTTAACTTGTTTTGGACTGAAGCATGTAACACCCGCTGAGAGCCATGAAACAGCTTGAAAGATCAAAGACAATTCTTTATATAACTCTGGCTGGATTCATCTGAAAGAAGAGTCATATACACCTAGGATGACATGAGGGTAAGTCATTTATGGGCTAATTTAATTTTTGGGTGAACTAACCCTTTAAATGTGTGACGTGAATTGTGATATTGGTATCAAGCCCACCTGCTTATGTCTTCTGAATAGACTGTATTCATATATAATTCACAATTTTTTTTAATGATTGGGGATGGAATTCTGTGATCTGATTTCTTTGGAGTGCACATTACAAATAAAATAAGTGTGCTTATCAAACCATCCAGGTGGAATTTGGTTTGAATTTTTATCTACAAACATGTAATCTGTTCTGGGTGGTAGGCTACTGAAATAATAATACACTTGCAACACACACAAACATAATGCAACCAAAAGGACAATATCCACTTTGAGATTTAGCAACAACTTTCTATCTGATTAATATCAAGGCGTTTAACGGAAACTCTAAAAAGTCAATATTTAAGAGTGCCTTAACGCATACTGATTTTACACACAGTAATGCGAAAAAATTGAGCATCTATGACGTCCCTGAGCAGTGCATAACACACCCAGCGATGTTGTTGCGTCCGGGACAGCGCGGTGATGATGACCTCGGAGCCCATACTTGACCGGTTGTGTCTTCCAACATATTTTACCAACGTGTTGAACGTAAACCCGAACATCACTCGAGATGTCATTGACGTGTTAACGCGACAACACAACTGTCATCAACCGTGATCCCTGTTTAACCCCAAATTCGATATACACGTATTCGATGGGTGTCGTTTTCTCCGGAGTTCAATGACTCCGCACCGGCTCACGAGCTGACTCGCACTCTTGCGTCACTAATTTTTGGAAGAGCGGGTGTACATTGATTGTTTTTCCCCACCCGTGTTTATTCAAAACCCGTTTTTACGGGCTAAATTCTTCCCGAGCGAGCGATCAATCGTCTCTCAATCACCCCGGAGGAAGAAAGGCCAGCAGCAGCACGGCACGCGCGGTGAGGGGTGGAGCCTGACATGAGAAAACAGTCGCGCTGAGTTTAACTTTAGCCTGTTAGCTAGCCGCCTGACGGCTTTAATTCAACACATTTAACACCATTCGTGATGGAGTCTTCATTCGGGATATCCGATAGCCAGTGTTTGGCTGTATCCTTTATTTGATAGCTTGGTTGTTCATTTTCAATTTGTATGGAGCAGTAGCTGTCTCTTTTAAAGTCATTTAGCTGTTAGCCTAGCTGTAATGGTAAAAATAACATGTATTTTCGTTTTGTGTATTAAAGAGGCTACATCGAATACAAATGTTGTCATTTCGGTTGCTGTTTTCTCTCTGATGTCAGACAGAAGTTACGCAAGTGTCTCGTGGTAAGCGTTTTGTTTTATCAAAACATACTCTTATTTCTTATTTCTATAACTTGAACATCATTGCGTGACATTGTCATGTCACTTGATATGAAGTGTCTGTAAGGCATGACATTATAGATGCTACAGAAACAGCGGCAGTTTATTATGAGAATAGAGCTTTTAATGATTTTTATATATATCTTGAAGTATGATGGGGATTGTTTTATGACTTACCTAATGAACTTATATAAAGTCCAACAAGTTTTTTGATTGTGTGAGGGAGGAGAAGGAGAGGGAGCATGGGAGAGCCATGAGGCGTCACACTTTCCACACTTTTCGCTTTTCCTCTGCCTCCAGCTATCCAATTGAATCCTTGACAGTGATTTTTTTCAGACTGTTAGAGGACATCTGCTCAGAAATGGACAAAAAGAACCAAGACTCCTGTCCCTATTAGAGTGTTCTGGACAGTTCAAGTAAGTAGACTCTCTTGTTTGTTTGATCTCAGTTTTCTATTTCACATTTTACAGGTCTTTACTGTTATACTAAACAATGCGTATAACTGATTAGTTGCAAAAGTTAATTTTAAAGCTTGGGAAACATGAGCATCGGAGCAGCTGTTCAGTCTCTTTTAGACTGAACCGCTCATTCTGGCTGGTGGTTCATTGCTACTGCCTGTCTGTGTTATTACATTGATGATTTTGTTGTCGTTTTTGGCCTTTTTGACATGATTAGCAACCAAACCCACCAACACAGGCCATCTAATTGCTAGTTATCTAATGAGCATCTCTATCTTGAGAATGCAGCTGCTTTTAACAGCCTTGCTATTTGTTTTTACATCCAATGGTTTTTACTTTACATAAGATACTTACTAGATATATCTTGTTATTTCAAGCTGATGTATGTTATTCTTGATTAGCAGAGAATTTCAAACCGGAAGCACAAAGTTGGTACGCCACAGCTTCAAAAATAGAAAAGTATTTATTTATGTCCTCAACACGGGTGAAATTTCGAGCCTAAAAGCTCTTCATCAGACATGTTAGGCTCGAAACGTCACCTGTGGTGAGAACATACATATTTTTCTACTTTTGGAGCTGTGGTGTGCCATCTTTGCTCTTCCTGTGTGGAATTCTTGATTAGCAGCCCTAAAACTTAAGCAATTCTCAGAGATCTTGAATATCTTGAATATATAACAGTATATTTTGTTATATTTTCATGAAAAAAAAACGTTAACACAGCTGCAAGAGTGTTTCTAATACACTGGCTGAGGAAATGGCTGTAAATTTGACATCTTTCTGCAATCAAGCTCTTTCTGTTTTTTTTCCTCTTTTGCAAAGTCGTGGAAATGCTATCATGGATTTTTTTTTTCTTTTTCTGTTGGAGCAATTGAGAATACAAAAACAATATTTGTTGTAGTCTCTTATTTACTACTGGTTTACCCAACTGTGACAACTTCTGCTTCTGAGAACCCCAGAAATGTGAATGTGAAAGAAATGTGAATTATATATTGCCCTAACTGCTGGTTGCTATAGATGTGAGAAGACTCTGTGAAAGATTGTGCAATGAGGCAGTGTGGCTTTTGTGGTGGATGCCAGCATGCTGCCCATTATCCTGCATTCCACCTCGGTGTCCTAGAGCCTAATAAGCCTCACATGAGCACACAAACTCTTTAACTGCATTAAAACTGTACACACTCGGCTTTACTCAAAGCTCAAGAACTGACTGGGCAAAAGAGGTCACAGATGTTATTTGTTGAATCCATGTGTAATGAAAAGGATCTCCTAACAATAAGAACAAAGTACACATTTGATATTTCAGACCTGCATGAGGAAATGTTCATTGACTGTAATGTATTAGGCATCAGATGTAAAAGTATGCATTGAAATCTTTTATGCAAATTACTTCTGCAGGTAGTTATGCACACCTAATTCATCTTAGCAGCTCATTAGTACAAACTTCAAGACCTCAAACGTGTGTTTCAGATAAGAAACACATCAAAAACATGCAATGTTGAGTTTCTCCAGGACCAGGATTGGTAACCTTTGAGTTAGAGCAACAAGTGAAGTCTTTAAAGTGATAGTTTACCTAAAAATGAAAATAATTGGGGCATTTATTCACATATAAATATTGATAATCGAGTGCGAGAAGAACAAACCTCATTGGTTATTGAGGAAACTCATGCATGCATGAATAGACAGAATTTTCATTTTTTTGGTGAACTGTTCCTTTAACCTCTAACCTGAACTGAACTGCAAAAGCATCTTTGTAGAGATCATTGGAAGTGTAACCAGCTAATAAAAGTATATTATGTTTAATTTAGCCTGACAGACCTTTGGGGTGGATGGGGAGTGCATAACTACTACATAACAATTTTGAGCTGTGTTGTCAGTGAAACATTAATGTGACAGCGGGTCCCACAGTTTAACCTCAGAGAATAAGGAAATATTTTTGGCATGAGCAGATTATAACCATCATCGCTACACTGGGTTGTTATTTGTATTGATTGAATGTGAGATTGCTTAGTAAGTGTAGGCCAAATTTCCCTTGTTCACGAGTGCTGCGTTTCCTGGCAACAGCATCCATTACAGCAATTATCGTCTTCTGAGACTGAATGAGAGGGGCTCACTGGTAGCACAGAGGGGTTCTAGTCTTGCCTCCATGCGTTTGCATGGCACACTCAGGCAGTGAAATCTGAAGGTTTTTCCAATAATCCAATGTAATTGAATTTCCCATGGAGCGAAATGGAGGTATGACCACGTTGAGAGGAACCTGATGCCCTGGAGTTGGCACTGTTATTGTCAGAGAGTGAAATATGGTCTGCAATTAGCC